TGTCTATTGAGGGAAAGAAAGAACATGTTTAACATATTTATGTTGTGAGGATAAAATTAACGCATGCTTTAAATAAACATTTACACTTGGTGCCTTCACTTCTCATCCTTTCTCTCTCCCTCTCCACACTTCTCCAATTCTCCTCCTTATCCCTCATCTCTCCCTCTCCCTCGACCTCTCTCCATTATTATCTACTCAATACAGCCCATAAAAATTGTTGTAACTTGAAATGGATCTGCAAGACCAAATGAAACAATCATAATAGTGGCTATCAGAACATCAAAATCTTAACATGGCGTGAGCAATAAATAAGCTGGTCCACAATGACGCTGAAGCAAAAATTATCAAAATTCGAAAGTAATAACAGCTTGGTCAAATTATTAAGAAGCAATACATTCTACAATCGAAAGGAAGAAAATAGACAAAGAAACGAAGAGTTAACGCACCAAACACATGAACTCCTTGGTGCTGCCGATGAAGAGAATTAAGGGAAGCAAACTCACCCCAAGCATCATCGAGTCTCCTGTAAACGATTAACTTGCCACAAACAACATCATTTACCAGAATCATTAAACAAAAGCCATAATCAACATTGTAATAACTTGATCAAATCAACTCAAAAACCATCATGAATAGCCCAATCAACAAAATTGAAACCCCAAGAAACTAAAATCAACGGCCAAATTAAATAAGAGAAACTGGAGTTTGTCCAAAAGCAAGCCTATCAAAACCTAATTGAAAGGAGGACTATAAAACTACTATTCAAGATCGAGGGCCATAATCCTGACCACCGTGTTAGAGTCACTTGAGTTCAACCTTGATGGAACCCCACAGTGGAAGATCCAGCAAGAAGTGGACAAAGATGGTGCAAACTGAAAATGGCAAAGGTGGCAGAAACAACCAGTCAACAAACATCGTTCTACTTCTTCCTAGATGAAGTGACAAGGTTAGTGAAGTCAGGAGTCTTCGAGGGAAGGCATGGTGAATGTGTTTGTTTAGGTCTTCAAGTCTTCTTGGTTTGTTTGAGCAAAGAACATGTAGAGAGGAAGTGAATGCGTTTGTTAGGATGAAAGTTAAAGAAGACAAAGAAGGGTGGTCAGAAGCTGAGGAGGAAAGTAGACGAAGAAGGAGAAGCAAAGAAAAGTGACACATGTGAATTTGATTTGGGAAGAACAAATTAGAAAGCAACACATGTCTAGGTTATTATCACAGAAAAGAGTTAACAATCAATGGATATATAGATTAATGGTGGGGAAATATTACACTCTTTTTGAAAGTTTCAAGATGAGATTGTTTAATTAAAAAAAAAGTTTAAAATGTCAAGTGCTTTTTACAAAAAATTTCTGGATATTTTGTCCATTAATCCATTGATTTAAAACAAGAGCCAGCAATGCAACAATATAAAAGTTGTTTCTGAAGAAAAGAATAAAGAAAACGACAAAAGCAATTGTATAGAATAGAACAGTTGCAATGCGTTTTGTGAGGGAGGGCAATTCTGAAGATGTGCAGAATAGAAAGTCCAGTTATAGGATATATTGTGAACATGAATGAGCATGTTTGCCAGCAACGAAGTTGAATTAATTTTCTCCAAACGGTACAAATTAAATGCATAAATAATTATCTCATGGTGGAGGGGTAAATTATGAGCTCTATTACATGGGTTTAGATATGAATACAATATATATTCATGTCTTTAATTTTCAGATCATAAGAGACAATTAATAGCTTGTTTGGTTTGATGTAATGTAAGGGGATTATCTGTCATCTTAATGCATCACAGGATTTCAGCTATTTGGTTGGCACTAAACAAGGTAAAAGGGATTACATCATGTAAAAGAAATTACATCATCTGCTATAAAGAGGATTACATCAATAAACCTATGTAATCCTTATTACAACCACATTTTATATTAAAATACCTCTCCTTATATAACATACTAAACAAACACATGTAATCTATATTACATTACTTTCACTCCCTAGCATTACATTACATTGCATTCTCTCTTGAACCAAATAGGCCATGAATGTTGACTAAGTCCTAAATCATCGACAAATCATTATACACCCTATGCTCATTGGCATGTTGATAACTACTTCAATTTTGAAAAATATAAGGCATTACAAAATATATTAAAAATTATAAAACATTTTTTATAAGAAAATGCGTTAAAAATATAAAGCGTTTTGGATCTTTCAAGGTATAATAAACAAGACTTTTGAAAAACTATTCTCAATCAAGAGGCATAATGAATAAATTTTTTTATTGAGACACTCTATTTAGTAAAGATAAATATAAATATAGACTGTTAATTTTAAAGATAACTAACTATTCCTCCAATCCAAGACTATAAAACATTACGGGGAAGATTCAAATTTTAAAATATAAATATTTTAATAAAAATAAAATTTTATTAACAATGCTCTTCAAAGATTACCTTTCATTATATTCTATCTCTTTAATATAATTTTTTATAAACGAAATATTAAATAAAAAATATTTTTAAAAGTTTATATTCTTGCTTTGGGATAAAAACTGTAATGTATATTTAATGAGCTTTATTTCTTATATGTGATTTTGTTTAAAAATATTTATAATTAAATGATAAAGTAATTCATTGGGGTGCATTTCAATGAAAAGTACTACCCTAGTCCCAAACTATATGATAATTTTAAAGGTATTTTGTTGCACAAAAATCTAGAATAATTTGATAAAAATAAATTTTTATTATAATGATATTTTTTAATATTATCTTTCAAATAGAAAGATAATAGAAATGATTGCATATTTAAAAAATTGAGAAAATTGGCCCAAAGGCCAGAATATAATTATTGCCCAAAAAATATAAACAAATTTTTTTGAAAAATAAGCAAAGTATGGCCGGCTCACATATTAACAGATGTTCATATATCATTAATATAATCCGTATATCATTGATAAATATTATTAATAACAAGATTTCAACAAAATTTAAAAAAGTTTTTATCATTGATATACAACATTATACAATAATAAATATTAAACTGGCCACGATGCAAAATATAAAAAATGTTAGGCTATTATATTAATTTAATCCCATAATAATATAGACTATATTTACAAATCTCTCTCTAAAGTACTCTCTTTGTTTAAAAATATAAAGGTTTTTTAACTGAATCTCACCTCTCAATAAAATAATTATTTATTTTTCAAATAACCTTATTTTTTTATATTTATTCCTATTAAACACCCTATAATAAATATAAATTCATTATCAGGGACATTTTTACAAAAAGGCAATAATTACATTTTAAAAGACTAAAAATATCTTATATTTTTTAACATCTAACTCCTCAAAAAATACCTTACATTTAGGGAATATATTAATTAGATATTTTTAAAAATTTATATTCTTATCTTAAAAAATTTATAAAATATTATTATTAAACTACTCAATGAAATAACATAATTTTGTGGATGTTTGACTTGTTTGTTTATTTTAATATTTAAAAATAAAATAATTGAGAGATGGACATCTTGCTAAAAAAGAGGTATTATTTCCTGAAGAAAGCACCGCGTCCGCAACGGCGATAAATTCAAGGGGTCTTACTTGTACGCCTGCGCTAGTGTCCCTTTTTTATGCATATTTCAGGATTTAATAAGAAAGAATGATAATTAAATCTTAAAATATTAAATTAATACAAGTTAAGTTTTTAAACAAATTTTTTAAAACATAAATTAAAAATATCGATCTAACTTATTATAAACTTAAAATTTTTAATTATAAATAAATATTTAAATAACAACTATAATTTTTAGATTGTAATAAAAATTTTATTTATAAATGTTTGAATTGATATTTATAATTTATTTTATAAAATTTTTTATTAATTATTAGCTATCATTAATTCATTCATTTGAAATCTTACTGTCATTTTTTCATTATTTATTAATTGCCAGTAACGTCAAAATGGTAAAGAATAATACTTATAGATAATTATATGCGTTTTTAATTAAATTTTATGGTAATTACATTATTAAAAAAATCATTTAATATTCTTCATACTTAATTATTACACTTTATACTAATTATAAAGATAACCAAATTGTGATTTAACAAAAAAAAATATAACTAAATTGTGTTTTTAAGCGTACATAAGGAGCAAATAAACTTAATTATTTGCCAGATTATGCCATTTTTTTCGGCTTACACAGGCATTTGTCAAATTATGCTGCCGCGGAGTACATTGATTAGAATTAGAAGTTAAACCAAAATGTAGCTTGATTGTAGCAAGCGTCTGATAAACTAAATGCTAACCGTTTTGGCAAATAAATAAATAGTTAAATACTAACCGAAGAATATATAAAATTCAACCATGCATGTATCCAACTGATTGCCAATTGCTAATAGATTCGTATAGTACGTACATTGATATAGAGATATGAATCTGAGGAAATTTCATATTTCGTCAATTTCACGCCACTATTTATTTATAACAGTTTATTATAATTATAATCATAATCAATATCTAAATATCCATATCTATACATCCTACATTTAAATGTAAACAAAATTTATGAAAAATATATATTGTCCATAACTGATAAGAAATACGCCTCGATTATTTTTTTTGGGGTCTAAAATACCCATTAATAATTTAGTCATGATTTAAAAAATGAGGTTAAGGTTAGTAAATATGCACATGAACAAATAGAAATACTAAAATCATAAGATATCATGTAATTCAGAAAATGAAGAAGAGAAAACAATTTCCACTGGGAGACAGGGGATGAAGCCAGTGCAAGCTGGCGGCGGATCCTGGAGGGAACAGGAGCGCAGCATAACAGTGTTATGTATATCCTTTGATGGCGAAAAAAATAAAAAAATGCATTTCCCTCGTTATTAGATCCAACGGCTAAGATCGAACTCCTTCACGTAATCCAACGGTCTAAGCAACAACCGCGTTTACGAAGGCAACCCATGAATCCGTCATCCTAACATAAATCATCCTCTCAGTCTCAGACCCTCGCCGCGATATCTTCTCATTCACTCTCGCTCTCTCTAAAATCCAGATTCAAGCTTTTTCTCCCCGGAATCCAAGTTCGCTCTCATTCACTCTTGGTCTTTAATATTTGAATCTACGTTATTATCATACTTAAGAAATAGGGAAGCACTCATCTGATTATTGAGATGCAATCAAACGGTTCTGGTTCCCAACAACAACAGCAACCATCGGAGCAGAATCAACGGCAACAGCAAACGCCAACGCAGACGCCGCCCCCACTACAGCCACTGGCGCTGCCGCAGCAGTGGATGCCGATGCAATACCCTGTGGCGGCTATGGTAATGCAGCATCACATGTTGCCATCCCAGCATTATGGGCCGCCGCCACCTCAGCCCTATATGCCTTACCACCAGTACCAACCGTTACCGCATGTAACTCACCCTCAACAGCATCAACATCAGGGATCCACCGGCGAGAACAAAACGATCTGGGTCGGCGATTTACATCATTGGATGGATGAGAATTATCTCCATCGCTGCTTCGCTTCCACGGGAGAGGTCTTTTTATTACTCTTCTTTATATTTTTCTAACATAACACACCAACAAAGACAAACCAGTTCTCTTCTTTTGATTTACTTCTTATATTATATTCTTTATTCATGAAAACTTGGATATGTATTCTGTATTGGAAGCTTGGGAACATTCTAATTTGGAAATACACGATTTTGACAATTAGTTTGGTGTTTCTATGTTGTAATGTACAATACATGGTCTTGTTTGATCTGGGTTATGATTCTGAATCTCAATGACATTGGGAGTAGAGGGATAGTCCAAAAAAACGTAATTTCGTAATCAAAGTCTTAAGGACCACATTTAATGTTAACGAGGGAAGTAGACGAATGTTCTAGAAGTGCTGAAGATGTCTTTATTGCAGTATTTATTAAAAGGTCAAAACTTGATATTTAGAGGACTGGTTTCACCTATTCTCTATTCTCTAGTAAAATGGGCTAGGGGAGGGGCGGGGGAGTAAATAACTATCAAGAAGTTGCAGGATGTGCTGAATTAAAAGTGGAAATCCGTTCATATATGGTAGAGGTCATAGAATGTGCTTAATAAGATATATAGCAGGGAAAGAAAGATTGAAGAGTTAACATTAATGGAATTGTAGATGCTAACTTTAAGCTTTCCTTATCGGTATAACTGATTATAAATGTGAACACTACTTTTGCATGGCAGCATTTTCTTCTTGTTAGTTAAAAGGCTATAGATGTGAACACTTCAAGGTTGTGTTTGCTTGTAGAATTTTGAATTCTTAGGCATGATGGATTTTTTCCTTCTGGATCATTCAAAGAGTGAATGTTTGAGCGGTAATGACAAAAGTTGAGGGGAATGCCATAATTACTTGGCCCAAAGTGATAAGGGGATAGGTATAACTTTCGAGGGTAGCTAATTTGACTTTTCAAGGTGACACCTGTGCTATTTCTTTGCCATCCAATTTGCTGAGAATATAACATGACTTTAGAAGCTTGGTTTTTTATGACAGAGAAAAGGTTCTTGTGCTCTTTATTTTACTTTAAATAGAACTGTACCAATGAAAAATTGACCATCTGACTGAGACATTTTTGCAGATTTCCTCCATCAAGGTTATTCGCAACAAGCAGACTGGCCTATCAGAGGGCTATGGATTTGTGGAATTCTATTCTCATGCCACGGCGGAAAATGTTTTACAGAATTATGGTTCCATTTTGATGCCCAATACAGATCAACCTTTTCGCCTGAACTGGGCAACATTTAGCACAGGCGACAAGCGTTCAGATAATGTTCCCGACCTTTCTATTTTTGTAGGAGACTTAGCTGCCGATGTTACAGATAGCATGTTGCATGAGACTTTTGCTAGTAGATATCCTTCTGTTAAAGCTGCAAAAGTTGTTTTTGATGCCAATACTGGTCGTTCAAAGGGTTATGGCTTCGTCAGGTTTGGAGATGATAATGAGAGGTCTCAGGCTATGACTGAAATGAATGGTGCATATTGTTCTAGCAGACCAATGCGTATTGGTGCTGCAACTCCTAGGAAATCATCTGGCTACCAACAAGGTACCAAATCACTCTCCTTGCTGCTGAAATCTGAATTTTAGTTATCAACGGAAAAATAATGACGCTAAACAATATGCTTCAAGATACACCTGTTTGAACCTCAATTGTTTTTGTGCCTGGTTGACATTGTGTCTTACAAACTTTAAGACTTTGCGTTTTCGCCACTCATGTAAGTGTCAGTCTTATGGCTTAACCTATGATTTGAATTTATCAAGGGATATTGCCAGGATTTTATAGATGAATGAATCACTTGAAATGAGATGATTACATACCACTATGTCTTTCAGAGTTTCATTGAGTAAAAGTATATGAAAGTCCGTCTGACAAGTAAAATGCTTCTGATAATGTGAAAAGTACTCAATCTTACAATAATGAAAATTTGTCTGATTAAAAATTGTTTTATGGATGTCATCGGTAACGATTCATCTCTTTGAAGTTTGAACTCATCTATCTAATTTTTCAATCGCCTTCCCTTTGTAAATTTGGGTATCTCTACCAGTGGGGTATTGAATGACTGTATCTTGGTATAGGAGGCCATGCGTCAAATGGAACATCCAACCAATCTGAAGCAGACTCAACAAACACAACTGTGAGCTCTTTGGTTGTTCTATTATATTTGGATTCGAGCCTGTTGTCACTAATCTTCTATGGCTAACCTATTATTCATTGTAGATATTTGTTGGAGGACTTGACCCTAATGTAACAGATGACGATCTTAGGCAGCCATTCTCCCAGTATGGTGAGATCGTCTCTGTCAAGATACCTGTTGGAAAGGGATGTGGATTTGTACAATTTGCAATCAGGTAGCCTCTCTGTTATCTGCAGATTCATGAGTAACATGTTTCTGAATATCTTAGATGGTGTGATTGCAATTCAATGCTATCCTGAACATTTCTACAGGAATAATGCTGAAGAGGCATTGCAGAAGCTAAATGGGACGGTGATTGGCAAGCAAACAGTTCGTCTTTCTTGGGGCCGCAATCCGGCAAATAAGCAGGTATACCCTTTCTCTCTCTTTCTTTCTCTTTAAGTATGCCTCCACACATTGTCATGGCCACTTTAGCGCCCTTGTTAATCTAAAGGAGTTTGTTTCGTTCGATAATCAATCCACCTGGGAATACCTCAGTGTTGCATTTCACGTAAAGTTTCAGAGTTCAATTTGGCCTCAGCTGCTTGCAGCACCTAAGTTTGGCTTTTCTAAAGGAGCATTTTCTGAATTTGTTAAACCATGAGATTTTTTTTTTTTTTTGGGGGGGGGGAATACATCAACTTATACACCCTTTGGTCCAAAATATAAGACATTTTTAACTATAATTCTAATACCAATAAAACTCAGTTATATCCTTATTGTTAGTTATAAATATCATAAGTTTTCTTTTTTACACTTTTCCCCAATTGTCAATAATTAATTAAATGAGAGAGATAATATTTTTTTAATGAAAGCGTGACCCTCCTTGCAGACCAATAAAGTTTTAACTATCATGAAAAGTGAGAAAAATGTACTCCCTTCGTTAAAAAATGTAAGCCATTTTTAATAGAATTTCACTTTTCAATAAAGTAGTTATCTATTTTCAAATTAATCTTATCTTTTTATATTTAATGCTATTAAATAAACACCCTATAATAAATATAAAGTCATTTATCAATAAAAGCACTTTTAGAGAAAAAGGCAATGATTACACTTCAAAAGATTAAAAATGCATTACATTTTTTAACATTCAATTTCGCAAAAAATGTCTTACATTTTTTAACAGAGAAAGTAATAAATACCAATAAGGTTATACAACAAACCAAGTTAATAAATACAAGGGTATAATACAAAAAAAGTTTAAAACCTACTAAATGTCTTATATTTTGAACCAAGATGAAATAGGAAAAAATGTTTTATAATTTAGATCGGAGGGAGTATATCTTATGGGGTCTTTCATTCTAATGAAGTATGACCTAATTATAAAATTAATACTTAAGTTGAGATAGGCAAACTCGTGAGTTTAAGACTAACAAAACATTCCTTGAATACTAAAAGCTGCTACGGAAGAATATGGTGTCTCGTTTGCATTCTGTTAGTCTACAGTTCGTGTATTAACTTGCATATTTGCAATGTCTCCCAGCAGTTTAGGGCGGACTTTGGCAACCACTGGAGCGGGGCGTATTATGGGGGTCCTGTTTATGATGGTTATGGATATGCTTTGCCACCACCTCATGACCCCAGAATATATGCTGCTGCATATGGGTCTTACCCCATATATGGAGGCCACCAACAGCAAGTAAGCTGAATGGAATGCCGGATTAGCTCACACAACAGTATCACGCTTCAATGGGCAACTCATATCTCCCTTGTAACTTGATCTGTTGAGATCTCAAGAATCCCTCCTAATTGTGGAGTGGAGTTGAATTTTGACAGCCTGAAGTAGCTCGCTAGGGATTCAATTAATCATTTGTTTAGACATATAGGAGTAACAAGTGACTTAAGCTTGGTCATTGGAATAATTGTCTTCTAAGTATGCTTCTATATCTACCTTTAAAGCTTTTCGGTTATCATCCTGTGTTTCGCTGCATATGCTTTCACCAGAAATGAACACTCTTAGGTCCCTGTCTTCATGAACCATTTGTTTGTGTTGCTCTGCATCTGCAAGAGGTTATGTGCCACCTGTAGAATTAAGCCGTCACTCTTGAATCAAACAACTCAGTTTAGCAGTGACATTAACAATTGAAGTTCCTATTCAAATAATTCCGTGGGAGCATGCATATTTGCCTTTTAATGGTTCATTGGAAATTGAAGCTGTCAAATTGAATTGAGCTGGCCGGATCGATCCGTTTAGTCTATCATTTCTGCGCTATGAGGTACTATAGATTGTGTTTCAGACCGAAAGAAAATAGCATGATTATGAGTATATCTCAAATCAGCACTTGAATATGCAGTTTTGCCGTCCGAAGATTCAGCAGATTTTTGCTCGAAATATTCCGACCCAGAAGTATGTTCCCGGTGGAATTTAAAAGCAATAATAGTACAGCACTTGTGTCAACTGTCAATTTTCATGCACGCCAATAAAGCCTTGCTCATTAAATCGCTACCGACAGGATATCACAGACAGGAATTGGATGACATATGCGAAACAGTCTATCTTGCGTAAATGTTAAAAATAATATATATATATATATATATATATTATTCTCTGGGAATAATGACTTCATCTTTCCGAATACATAAAGTGTTTTTCCCCTGTCCTGCATGACTGTTTTTCGCTGTTTCTTGTTTAAGTACTGTTTTTCCCTTTTCAGTTTTCAATAACAATCACACCGTCTCATTACCTAGAGCGTAACTAATTATAAAATATAAATATTATTTTATTAAACAGTTACTTAAAATATTAAGTTATGTAATTATTATTTTTCAAAATATAATTTGACTTTATAAATTGTAAGAAATACAATTATTATCATCGGCCAAAAAAAGATTATCCGATACCTGACATCATTGATTCAAATTTAAACATTGTTGAACTATTGTCTCATCATAGTTATGAAATATATATTATTCTTGGGAGACATTAAATATCATATTAAATGAAGTTTAAAAAAAAAAATTCACACGGAGAGTCTCAGTCTAAAGCAGTGCCCCGCTTCGTAGGCTTATTGAAACCATCATTCGTGAGAGCCAGAGAGGGCCGAGAGCGACTGCTTAGCTAAGAAATCTGCCGGCTGCTGCGCCATTAGCCCGTCGGCGAATATTGATTGAATTAATTTTATATTTGTATTTATATTTTTATTATTTTTTTGGATCCAACGGAACAGGCTCGCATGGGAGGGCGCTGTGCAGCTTTCAATAGATTGGTACGATCAGCAAGGTATAAAGAATTGACTTTCCAAATTATCAAGTCTTGCACGAACTTTGTCTAGCTCCCACAAACTGGTATGTTTCCACAAAGGTTGAGGACTCGTTATCTTGCTGACTGTTTGTTTTTGTTTTGTTTTGTTTTTTATTTTTTGGATTGGACTCCTCGTTTATTTTTTCCTAGGTTGTATGCTAGGTTTTTTTTTTGGGTGCTTTTTTATAATTAGTGTGTACTAACTATCTCTTTTTTGGTGATTAATAAAATGAGCTCTCTTTTTCTTGCATGTGTGTGTGTATATCATGATGCAGCAGGATTTCAAGATACTTTCCCAAATTAGCAACTATTCTGAAGTCCAACACTTCACTCAGCTAGGTCCACACATTGTGGTTGACATTAGTCGAGAAGAAGACCCTTGTTTTTGTGTGGCTAACCCTTTGGCCGAACGCTTCGCAAAATTTGTGCAGGCAGTTTTTGATCACCTGCATTTGATTAAGACTAGCTTTAGCAAAATAAGTAAGTCATCTGTGGAAAAACGATGAGATAACAAAGGCCCGAGTTTGTTAAGCCGTATAGGTCTTCAGCTCCCTTTATTAACTTCAACTTGCATCCAATGAGCCAATCGTTCCATGACGATATCACAAACAAATAAGACGAAAGAAGATTGCCTTGTCTTATACCTCTAGACGGATCAAACCCCTCAATTCTGCTAATTCCATGATAATTGCATAGAGGGAGTGGAAATCCACTGTTCAATAACATTAATCAAGTATAGAGGCAAATTTAATTCTTTTAAACAATCAACTACAAAATTCCACCTCATTGGATCATAAACTTTCTCAAGGTTGATTTTAATAATCATAAATCCCTTTTTTTCTTTCGTGTTTTGAATAGAATGGACGCTTTGCTATGCCACAATAATATTATCCGAACTCAATCTTTCAAAAATAAACCCACATTGGTTAGGAGGGATAACTTCCTAGATAATGCACTTTATTCTATTTGCAATAACCTCGGTAATCATCGTGTAGGTGAAATTTCATAAACCAATTGGCATGAAGTTATGAATAGTTTCCGGATGATCCTTTTTCTCTAAAATAAGCACAACAAATGCCTTATCAACACCTCACATCAGTTGAGGCTCCATAAACAATTAAACACACATCACAAATAAAAAACCGAGGGGCCTTCGATCTTCTATGGAGATTGAAAAAAGAGAGCATTAAACTTGCTAAGACCAGGGGATTTCAAAGCCCCTATATGCAAAATCACTTGTTCAATCTCCTCCCAGGTCACAGGTTGTTCATTGCATAATGGAGGATCGGAAATGTCACAGTTTTTAAGATAAGTCACATTACCTTCTTCTCGAAATAAATCAACAAAAAAAAAAAGTGGTTTCTTATGTAACACTCCAAAAATCTTAAATAAAACATTCACAATAATTTTGTAAGAACAAAAACCTTCCCACCTTATTTTCACGAGTATTTTTCTAAACCTGTCAAATAATAATAATGGGATCCCAAAAACAAAAATCACTGGGCTCATGAAATTTAAAGCCTGACAGTTCACAATAAGCCCAACGGCCAACAACCCAACAACAAGAAACTTAAATGAAATTCAAGTTTAAACTAAATATATAGCATCAAATAAATTAGGCTTAGCCCACAACAATTTCTAGTTCAATAATCAATTTCAAATACCAAATTTCATAACGATAAACTCTAAAAGAAACTTGGCAAATAATCTGTTATGTGAATTATTTAAGTTATAAAAATCACAATTCCAATTTATAGCAACAAAATAATAAAATTACAACTACATGTGTCAAGCTAGACGGAACAAGGAGCTTAAGCTTACTATTCTAGTGCTCTTTCTATAGGATAGCTCACGTGAAAATAGTAAGAGGTAATATATGAAACATGACATCTCATTAACAATTAAGTATTCTAACCTATATCGGAATATCAATTAAAAACCACTTCTAAAAATCATATTCACACACACACACATTTCACAAATCATTTCTCAAACAAAGAAATACCAATTTTCTATAATCAAAACAATTCAAATTAAATTACAATTAAATCAATAGATGCCTATCTCAACTATACTCTCATGTTTTGCCCCTTACACTTTATTATTGCAAGTTGGAGTGTAAAATACCGATACACACGGTCATAGGTGCATTGCTGGCAAAGTAGGATTCACTTTCTTAAAATAGAGGTGCCCACCATCCAAAATTTCAACAAAAATTTAAACATAAAATCCTTATTAGTCATTACCTAAAGTTGTTAACCGAAATAATTGCTTGTTTCAGTGTGACTAATCTGAACATTGTTTGGCTAAGAAATTATTTCGGTTAAAAATTTTAGATAATAATGATCCTATGTTTAAATTTAGAGAATTGTAATATAATGATTAAATGTATAAATTTATAATTATATCAAATGAATGACATTTTTAAAAATTTATATTTCTGTTTTAAAAAATAAGTTTGTAAATTATCATTATTAAAAATATATGTTTTCTTGTCTATTATAAATCAAAACTTATCGTAAGTTTTTATATTTTTATGTCTACGCTGATGCAATATAAATAATGTTACTTTACGTGGCGGCACACTGGCAACATGAGGTAATGGTAAAAAAAAAAAAAAAAAAGATACTGACAACCACGAGGTAAACCGGCATTTGATTGAAAATGAACTATGTAGTCTCTCCTCCAAGGGCAGCGTGGAATCTAAGAAAGTTGCTGTCTTTGGTAAAATATTTTAGAGAAACTATCAATCAAAAGCACCACTAAATATACTTAATACCAAAGAAGGATTGCAAAATTTTGAAACACCAAGGTGATTAAGGGACTAAAGTGCAATTAAATTATGATGAAAAAACAAAACCACCCCTTACATATATTTTTTTCAAAAAAAAAAAAACCTCACTATTATTAATCACCGAAATAATATTAGTGGCCGAGCCAAGCTCTCTAATGCCATGACAATAAAGTAAATTAATTTTTAAAGTAGTCAATGAGGTATTTAGTCTTATGACCCTTTGGTGCACCTAAAAAACTTGGATGCCACCAAGCCTATTTAATCAAATATGAAAAAAAAAATGCATAGTAATCCAAACTTTTAAACAATTTTTATGTTATAACACAACGGTGTGTTGTTAATTTTAAATAAGTTATTATTAAAATCTGAATGAATACTTATTAATTAAGAACTAGCATTTGTACAATTAAACTCATCTTATCAATTTTTCTAACTCGTTAAAATTTGAATATATTATTAGTAATTATGAATGGATTATTGTTAAAATTTAAATAGATACTCGTTAATGAAGAATTAGTACTTATATAATTAAACTTGTCTTATTTATTTTTCTAACTTGTTAAAGTTTGAATAAATTGTTATTACTTTCAGATGAATTGTTGTCAAGCTATGAATGGATATTTATTAATAAATGATTAACGCTTGTATAATTAAGCACATTCTATCAGTGTTCCTAACCTAGCAAAGTCCAAATGAATTGTTATTAATTTCAAATGGGTTATTGTTAAAACCTAAATGGCTTGTTATTTATAACGTAAACACTTGTTTTATTATACATGTGTGTCCGTTATTAACAATGAGTTTTTATTAGGGTTTTGATAAAAACTTATTCAAAATTAACAATAATTCTTTTGGACTTTAACAACAATCCATCATAC